GTTTTCTTGATTTAACCGTTCGGAAATTTCCCACACACAGACACACACACACACACACACACACACACACAGACACACAGACACACACACACACACACACACACACACACACACACACACACACACACACACACACACACACACACACACACACACACAGACACACACACACACACACACAGACACACACACACACACACAGACACACACACACACACACACACAGACACACAGACACACACACACACACACACACAGACACACACACACACACACACACAGACACACAGACACACAGACACACACACACACACACACACACACACAAACACACACACACACACACACACAGACACACAGACACACAGACACACAGACACACAGACACACACACAGACACACACACACACACACAGACACACAGACACACAGACACACAGACACACACAGACACACGCGCGCGCGCGCACACCCGCGCGCACACACACACACAAACACACACACACACACAAACACACACACACACACACACACAGACACACACACACACACACACACACAGACACACACACACACACACACAGACACACACACACACACACGCGCGCGCGCGCACACCCGCGCGCACACACACACACAAACACACACACACACACACAAACACACACACACACACACAAACACACACACACACACACACACACACAACACACACACACACACACACACACACACAAACACACACACACACACACACATCCTGGGATTATTAGTATAGATTGTACGAGAACCGCGTAATCAGCTGATCCGTCTTGAGTATAATTAGCTACGCGTTAATCTGTAATTTGTATACGATTATTGGTGTCATTTGAAGGCTTTAACCAGATGATGACAATGCTAAACTACATATTCTCAGTGATTAACAGCTCAATAATGAATAACTGTTAAAATGACTGTTTTTTTCTATAGGAATTTTCATTTTGTCCTCAACAAAAACTTGGCGGTCGATTTCCAGTAAAAAGCCTGGTTTGTGGTTGTCTCCAACGTGTCAACTTTTGAGTTTTGATCTAATTATGCAAAAAAGAATCGGAGATAAAAACCAAAAACGTCATACTATCTCGAAATGGTGACGTGGTAACTTACTCCCCTTTGTCAGAATACGGCAATGTAAGTGCAACATCCCGGCCCCGCGGCGTGGACACTCCACTCCAGTTCAGTATGTATAACCTTAACTGAACAATGAAATTATCTGCAAACCTTTCAGATCTATTCGGCAACCCGATCGCTCAAGAAGAGTGCTACAGATTGTTTGTGATTCATAACATCAGTTCTCTAAAACTGTTAGACCGACAGGCGGTCAGCTACAACGAAGTTTCAGCAGCTAGAAGGTTCGATTTGACGAACAGTAAAAAATTTATATAAGCAGATTTGATTCTATTCCATTGCTGTCGGCATTGAGCGATTTATTGTTTTCATTATAGTTGGTTAATTGTATAATTTCATCTTGAGGTTTAATTAATCACATGCATGCTCTTGATCTCATCTATGATCTAAGAGCTACAGAAAATGGTACGGTTAATAATTCTTTTAATTTCAGGTTATTTGCTCCTCAGCTGGTAAGGATAAATGACTCTATAAAGTTTGGTAGACGTGAATTCAACAAGGAACATTTCCCGCCAAAACGCTTTACTGGTACGGATTTTAATTGGTGGCAGATTCTCACTAGTAGATGATTTTTATTTATTTTTGGAGCCAAATCAGACGTTTTTTAACAGATGATCCCCTTTCCAAGAGTAAAGAAAACAAGCTGAAATGTGTGCTTCTCCTGCAGGAAAAACAGTGAGATACATTAGAGTAGGAGACAACCCCCACTCTCGAGCAAGTTTATCGCCACGACGGAACACTACCCCAATGTCATACTCCCTGTTCGACTGGGAAACCTCGGGGAGGGAGTTTCTATACTCTAAAACTAGATCCCCTCCCAGAAAACTTACTGTATCTATCAAGTGAGTGGCAAGCTTACTGTGGGTACAGTATTAGGTATCTCGCGGATCTAATTTGGTATGTTATTTGTGTTTATAAGTGTACATATTTATACAGTAACTCAGTGTTTCTATTCGTGTTTGTGCTCGTTCTGAATTTGATTTTTGTTCCCTATTTTGGTTCAGAATTAGGGACAACTAAAGGGGCGTATAAATACTAAATAGTGTAAAATAGGGGTGGCTAACCAGACTAGTCCTACAAGGGCGTACCTGTGGTAAACTCTGCCTGCTCACTGCACAAGTACTCTCACAATACACGTTACAATCAGCGTTAGACATAAGCTCATAAGTGAAATAACCGTTGGATTTAAGTGTAAGATTAGCGTACTAGATTTAAGATTATGGATGGTTCTTTAGGATAACAGTTGGACTGTTGAACACTAACTTAGGCATCGAATTCTAGCCATTAGATCGTATAAATCGTATTACAGCACTAAATAGCGTGTAAGATTCGAATTGAAGTAGTTAGTGATACTCCATTTATCGTATAATTAATCCCGTTACAGCACTGACTGCTTGTAAGGGTTTGTGGTTCCATTATTATACGATACTAACTTATCGTATCTTCCTCTTTAACTTATTACACGATACTAAATATCGTATCTACCCTGTTGAACTAGAACGATACTGTTTACCGTGCGTTATTGTGATAATTGGTCGCTGTACGGCTGAGTGAGTGCAGTGTGTATTGTGAGAGTACTTGTGAGCAGGCAGAGTTTATCACAGATACGCCCTTGTAGGACTAGTCTGGTTGGGCGCCCCTATTTTACACTTTAACGTATTTAACATATTTTTATATTTTATATCTTCCAAATTTTGTGTTACATTTATAGTTTTTGGAAAGTTGCGAAAAAGTTGTGAATCGAGACAAAATATATCAATCATGTGATTTTATTAAATATAATTTGAATATTTCGGTAATATTATCACGTTTATGACAGTTAATTAATTACTTTAAAGATATTTGACACCACGTTTTTGTTCACGTTTTTGCGCTAGCTTTGTAATAAGACACTCGATGAGATAATCTTTTACGTAACAAAGTGTCGTACGCAAGATTAAATTTGTAGATAACTCTTTTAGCTTGCAATTTTATTGTGTTATATCACTGCAGTGACATAGCGAATTACATTGATTTTTGGTGATAATTGTGATTTTATTGATTCTACATGAGAACTTGTTGAGTAGTTTCTGATTTTAGGTGGAGTGTTTCGCAGGGAGTCGAAGTATTTGTTTCCACATAATGAATTTAAGTGTGCTTTGCTCGAAACCAACATGCGCCAATACTTGTAGTTTTACTCACATGTACAAAAGCGTTGCTATGAAAATTCATCTTTGCTACATAAAGATATTTATATTTGTAATTTTATTTCCATTTTGATGAATAAATAATTATGAGGCATATTTTATGAGGAAAATTTCATAATTATGAGTATATTTTATGTTTTAGAACCAGCGATTTTATGACAAATTAGATTTAATGTTAATAAATATGATAATAATATTATGTACTGTATCTTACTTTCATTATATATTTTGCGTATTATTAAAATTTTAAAAAATATCTAACCAGATTTTACTTCCACACAGAAACTCATTCCCAGGCAAACGTATAATGTAAACTTTACCATGTATTAATTGGGCACCATGTACATTTTCCCATGTACAATGTACATCCGTAGTTATAACGAAGTAGGGGTTCAGTATCACAGCCAGGATAATTGCACTTTCTCTCCACAATAGTTTGGCTCCGTCTCGCCCCCGACTGCCCTCTAAGTATGGCCTAATCAGTTTACTATTGCTCGCTCTGATTCATGGTACCATGTGGTTCTGGACTGAGTTAGTATTGTAGCTTTGTAGCTCCCTGTTACCCTCTGGGCTCACCTGTTAGTTTCTGCCTGATGTTGTCCGGGAACTTTTTTGGTAGTTGGCAAATCTCCAAATTCACTGAATGTCAGGGACTTTGGATGGAAAACATTCCTGCAGCGTAGTCCTTTTTCTTTATAAGTGTTCACTGTTTTAAGTTTAACTGTAATCTAGGCAGCATTTTTAACGGTCCGGAGATACTATATTGGCGAGGTATTTGAGGTTCATTTTCATTGGCGAACCTGCACAATAAGCAACTGCTCAAACTCAAAATGTTGGAAACGTGTAGAATTATACGAGATTTAAAAATATAGTACAAAATAACCAAAATTATCCCATGATCAAATTCAAAGAAACATTAAATAACTCACTACTATTTATTACATTAGGGTATGTCAGATGATAAGCCTGAGGGTAGAAAGCGAGGAAAATTTGTGAGGCAACCCTCAAGCAAGGCAAGTACCTTTGATTTTACAATTTATTAATTAATTTATACGTAATCACCCCTTCACGTTCAAGAAGAAGTCTTGATACATCTCTGCAATTTGTTTTGAATTTTGCCCTTATTGATTCAAAACTGAAAACTAAGCAATGCCCCCTCATGTCTATCCTTAAATAGACCTCATAAATACCTATTAAGCTATTATTACCTCCGATTTCAAAATAGGTATAGGTATTTATATATATTGATGAGGTTGACCTATTCCCTCACTAAAACTAAACCTTTCCCCCGCAGTCTCCGTCGACCAGCTCCCCAGTTGAGGTTGATGCCGGACCAGGATCCCCTGTGACAGAGGCGCCAGGATCCCCCGTGGACGAGGCGTTATGTGCCGGACCCCAGCTTTACACGATAAATTGGCCCGTGGAGAACTGCTGTGCGCACGTTTACATACTACACGGATACGCCGAACATTGCGAGAGGTTTATTTGTTGGGTTGTTTGTTCAGGAGGGAAATAGTGTTTAACTTTCCAAAATTTTGTAATGTTATTTTGTAGGTTTAACCAGTTAAACTAATTATGAAACTCGCCCGATTTTTTTCGATTCCAGCATGGTTTTAATATGAACCTTATTACTGTAAGCCGTATCTTGTAACAATGATAAACACTTACTGTTCAGGTACAATGCTTTTTGCGAGACCCTAAACAAGCACAAGATATCCGTCGCTACTCACGACCATGTTGGTGAGATGAACTTTTAGTTTCTTCCTTTTTCTAAAACTTTAAGTTTCTTTTTTTAGGACTTAAACAATTAAAACCTTATTTGAGGGCACATTATGGAGTGTTTTATTACTTTTTTACAATTGTGTCACGTGATAGAGGTGTTGGAGCTTTATAAAAACAATATCTTCTCAGGTCACGGACAAAGTGACGGACACAGATTTCACGTGGACCGCTTTGACACGTACGTAACCGACGCAATAGAGTTAATGAAGGAGCACAGGCGGGAGGTGGGCGAAGATAAGCCGTTTATAATGTTTGGGCACAGTATGGGTGGGCTGCTAGCTACTCATTGTATGTTGCAGGTTCCTCAGCTCTTCACTGCATGCATACTTAGTTCTCCTTGTTTGAAGGTTAGTTATTAAGTAATTAGCTATTAAGTCATTAGTTATTAAGTAATTAGTTGTTAAATGAAGAAGTAATTAGTTTTTAAGTGAAGAAATAATTAGCTATTAAGTTATTAAGTAATTAGTTATTTAGTTATTAAGTAATTAGTTGTTAAGTGAATTAGTAATTAGTATTAAGTTATTAGTTATTAAGTTATAAAGTAATTAGTTATTATGTGAGCTCTGAATGTGTGACTTTAGTATTACTATTATCGTTCTCCCATGTTATTATTTCTGATGGCCAATCATGGACATTCGATATATATTCGAGAATTTTCAGATTTCGAAGTTTAAGTGTGTATTTGTTCACACTTTCACAGTATTTTCCGTAAACTTTGAAACTGACAGTTATTCAGTCTTTCTATTCTGTAGATCCACGGGAAATACAACAAGTTACCGTTGCGCGTCGCTGCACGTGCGTTGTCCTGGATAGCTCCAAGATTCTACATTCCCAGTCGCGCCCTAGCACTCGACCCTAAGGACGTGATCGCAGACGAAAAGGACAGGTTTGAAACTCTAAAGTTTTGTGATATCTCAAGGTAATAGGTATGATATTGTGAAACAAATTAACATCCAGGAAATTAAGAGGACTTTATTTTGTCATCGGTCGATTAGTAGTTGTCGTTTTCAGGGAAGGGTACGCGACCGACCCCTTGATCTGGCACTACCAGAGCAAGCCGGGGTTCACCGTGGCAGTGTTTGATGCTATAGACGAGGCACAGAAAAACTTGATGAATCTGAAAGTAAAATGCCTTGTACAGCACGGCACAGATGACCTGGTATGCAATTAATCATCATCCTTTCTTATTGTATCTCAAAATTTTCAAAATCCACTTTATCCATCACATAATACTTTTTTCGCTATTATTGAGGTTTAAGCACTCCGTTCAATATGACAGTTTACCCTACTACAGGTGTGTGATGTGGCGGGGGTTGAACCCTTCAAGCGGATCCCTGAGGTTGCCCAGCTGAAGCTGTACGAGGGAGCGAGACATGCTCTCCTGCTGGATACACAGGAGATAAGGAATGTTGTGATACAGGACTGTTTGGACTTTATAAACTCGGTTGTGTTTGATTTTGAGACGTCTTCGTCATGAGGGGGTTTATCGTTTTGAAAAGGCCGTGTTTTTAGAATATTTTCCGTAGATTGGCAATTAGGCACATGTTTGATTTTTAACTTTTGTTTCTTAATTTGCTGTTTATGCTGTAGCCATAATGTGTTAAGTCTTTAAAGTTACATTTTCAATTGATTACTAAAAGTTGGTCTGTTGTTTGTTATTAAATAGTTTTTCATAAATTTTTGGACTTAGATTAATTCGATGTATTGGGTCCAAGTAATTGCGGACGTAGTTGACTATGTGTTTACCGTGTTTTGGGTGCCCATCTTATTTTACAGATGATTTTTATTCTTTAGATTAAAATTATAATTTATTCCACTTTTTGATTTACTCCACTCTCCGTGCTCCGTATGATTTGTAATTTCTCCTAATATAATTGCTAATATTATTGCTAATATATAATTGCTCCTGATCCTAACTGTAACTAGGTGAGACCGAGCTAATAGTCGTTACCAGTGCGCGGCCGGTGGACAGGGTGGTCTTAGGTCTACTTACCTGTAGTCTACAGGTAAGTAGCTACCCGCGCGTACGACTATTAGCTCGGTCTCACCTAGTTACACTTACATCTTCATGACATTGACAATAATATAATTGCAAAAAAACGATGAATGATGATACTTTGTCTTTATCATTTGTTGTATTGTGTATGTGGTTCAATTCAGATTTTTTATTTTGTTGATCGGATGAAATTATATTGTAATTTAAACATTAAAGCAAGTTTCGTAATAAATTTGAAATTACGATTAAATCATATGCAATTATTATTACAGTTTGAGTTTAATTTGAACGTGAACAGCTAGTGAAGTTGATCGTGACATGATATTGATTGATGATGTTGTGAGTTTTCAGTCATTGATCGAATTAAGTGCGCGGTGCTCTTTTGTTACCTGACCCGCCAATCCAATGCATGCGGCCAATCCCTGTGCATGCAGTATGAGCGCTTTTTTTCAAGCTTCCTGAAGGTGAAATAAGGAGCAATATGGACCTACTACGTACAAATTGCATTCATGTAATAAGTTAGTAAGCTACCTCAACCTGGGGAGTGGGGACCTCGGGCTATCAGTATCAGGAATTCATAAACAATTAATAAAGATTCGGAATGACAGGCTGAGCGCCGCCGGTAATGTAAAAAGTAATTGCGATATATTTAAAAGTTTAGTGCACTGTCCGACCTTGATTCACGATGTCAATCCTTTACATGCGCAGCCCGGCGAGGCTTGCACATACGTTAATGTACGACCCGCCGCGCACGAGTGCGCGGCTCCCCTAGGTATCGTAAGAACGAAACGACCGTGGCCTGGGGGTAACGACGTGATACAAGGCGAGGTCCAGTTTAATGGTTTGACCATTATTAATGGTCTGGCCCGGCGCGCGCTACTTCGTAGAACATGCCATCGGGCCATTTCTGATTTCGAAAAGAAAGCGGCGCTACTTCGAAAAAATGTAGACGAGTAACACCCGTCAATTAAATGGTGCATCGTACTGAACTAGCAAAGAAAATTATTTGATGCTCGAGAAACATTATTTGATGCGCAACCCAGTAGTGCCGTATGCAGATTCGATCGGCGAGATGCGAAGCGAAGGATATATAACATTGACATCGTGAATCAATGTCCGACTTAACTAATTACGCGTATGGCGTACGATCATGTCATGTACAGAATGCAGAATAACAAATATTTTAGAAAAATCATCTGTCATCGTGCATGTGATGTGAATTGGCTAAACGGGAATTCACCCAAACGTGGGCTTTCGGCCGGTACTATCAATTATATAAATCATTTATTCATTATTGCTTAACTTGTTCACCTAGCCATGAGTCTACGCGTATAACTGCATTGCGTGACGCGCTTGTTTCGGCAGTCGCACGCTTCTTCAAGCGAAATCAGGGCGGTAGTTAAAGCAACTTAATTTGTATCACGTTGTGACCCTCATTGTTATTTCATTTAATAATATATAATGTTACGTTGCACGTTGGAGAACTTCGGCGCGTCGCGCAAACTATTAACGGGTGATACTCGTAAAATATCTGTTCCATATATTGGACCGTTACCTGGGGACCTCAGGCTTTTATGTTCGTAAACATAAAGATTCGGCGGAATGTTCACATAGCCATGTGCCTACGCGTACTGCGTGACGCGCTTGTTTCACAAGTAGGATAGTCGCGCGCTACTGCAAGCGAGAGGGCTCTGGTTAGAGCAAGGCAGAATGACAGGCTGAGCGCGGCTTATGGTAAATTGGACCGTCGACGAGCCCAACTCGGCGCGCATCCTGGTAGGTTGTGAACCTACAAGCAAACTAGCATTCTTGCTTCGCATCTGACAAGATTGTTGCTTTGCTAGCTTTGTTAATTCGCAAAGCAACGATATGGAAGGGTAGACATTGTCAATAAATTTATTACATTGTAGCGCGATGCGATGCGTTATTGTGCCGCGCACTCAATGAGGCTTCTCACTCGCTAGATCGGCGAGATGCGCTGCTGTGCCGCGCCGAGCTGCGATGAATTGACATCGTCAATTAATAATATATTACGATAATCGAGCAAGGCGGGCTTATACAACGTGAAGCAACCAACCACGTGTCTGGCAACGCATTCGTTTCGGCGGGCTTGATTTCGAAATTTTATTTTTTTGTAATTTTCGTGCAAACTTGTTTTTGTTGATTTTGCAACCGATATTATCGACGGTAAAATTATCCGCGATAATTTTCAAAAAATTCATTATCGGTTATCGGCGATAATTTCTAACCAATAAACCAATAATATCAAATATTTTTCTTTTAAAATTATTTCCAATAGGTTCGAAATTCCATAAAATCATCGGTCAAATTTTTAACGGGTGATACTCGTAAAATATCTGTTCCATATATTGTACGGGCGAAAAAGTTGGTCGCGCGCAGTACGCCGCGCTTTTGGTGTTGACCATTGGTGGCAGGTACTTTTCGTCCTATTACGTCACGGCGCAGTACTGCACGCACACTACACACTGATAAAGCTTCTCTCAGATCACAGTTTAAGTTAGAGATAAAACCTAGTTAGATCATCGATCAGTTAGTGATTAACAAAGAAAACAAATTTATTGAAACAACGGATTATAATATATAATGTTTATCTTTCTAAATCCCGTGCACAGTGTAACATTATGAACTGGAATTTTCATCTTAAATTCTTTGATCGGAGCAACATCTTGAAGATTAACTCAATCTTCAAGTTCAAGCGTTCGGCATCATTGTAGAGGATTTGTAGAAGAACGTTTTGGCAGTAACTGAAAGTAATTCATTTTAATTGATCAGAGGTCGAAACTCGGTTTATCAGATGGTTTGGGAGTTAAGACATGATGCATTACTGATTTAACTACAAAACTTGACCCACAATTATGACTGTTCACAATATTGAGCCTACAGTGTGACTGAATTGTATTTTTAAGCCATATAATTATATTCCAAAAATTCTAGTATGTCCTCACCTACTGTATGTTTTACAGTTTTATGAGAAGGAGACCATTAAAATAGAGTATAGATTATTCCCAGCAGTACATTATCTTCCAGAAATAACAAGGGCACGACATTCCGGGCCCGGCACAGCAAAATGAGAGTCAGAGATTAGAGAAGAAAGAACATTCTTCTTTGTCAGACGTCAGTATAGCCGTTTTCATGTCAGAGAGATCCTTCGGCGACTATCAGTATCACACAATGGCAAGTCAGTCCATCAGTAACTGAAAATAAAACCCATTACGTTAGTGTTGCTATTAGGAGCAAATGTTTAGATACAAACTGGTGTTATCGGGAAGGTTGGTAAGATATAATCAGAACTCGGCTAATTAGATATTTGATTTCAAACAAGTCATTTTTAGGTTATACTATTCCGGGAACATTATATATATCGTATTTCTGTCGATAAATGGTTACATTTTTATGTACCATTTATCGACAAAAATGGGCAATTTGTGCATGTGCATGGTAATTTTTAATTTTAAGTGGAATATGATACGCCCATGTGCAGTGTGGAACCTACAGCGTGTAAAGAAATGTGTGTAAAGTATGATTATTTATAGATTACCGCAGCCGTAATAAAGTAATGACAAAGTAAGCGAACATGTACATCTCGTGATAACATTTCGGTCATGAAGTTGGAATATTACAACAACATATTATTTTAATTGCTCACTTCACTTGGAGAGAATTCAGGTACGTGTGTTAATAATTGTGTACATAATTCTGAAAACTGGAAAATTCTGGAACTTTAACGAAAATATAATACAAAATTGGTCGCAAAATTGAATATTATATGGGATACTTAGGAGGATTATTGGGACAAAATTGGAACATTGGTTACATCGGTTCTAGACATGCAGTGATTCCCAAACTTGGTTTGAGTACTCCTAGGACAAACATTAACTCTTTCCGACCAATTTTGAAAATTTTGAGCACTTTGAGGATAATGTTCATGTTTGTTCATTTCCGTTCATTCCATAAACATGGGTAATGTTATGTGACTTTTGATGGCTCCTAGGCTACGGACACCTCAACTTATGTCGCTCCATATGTTAATGAACATAATAGCCTGGGGTCCTCAGGTAAGTATAGTCGCGAACGCAAAGAAACCGCAGGGTATTCCGAAAAGATTTATTTTAGGCCGAATTTTTGTCTGCATTGTGTTACGTGACTGGGCCGAGCCGCGCACTAAATACATTTTCCACCGCTGTTTGTTTTAAAACTAAATAAAATTTTAATTTTAATTACATCATGTATCACAAAATGGTACAAATTTAAAGTGGGTTTATATATAAATGTCATCAATTAAACAAAAGCCTTAAGTATATAAACAGAACACAAATAAAAATAATCGAGAGAGTTTTTAATGCAAAGCGTTACTGGGCGGCGCTCAGCCGACCTTATCATTTCGCAGAATCTTCATTATATTTGGGTGAAGTAAATTATAAATTTTATTGCACAAGTAAGGTGTGACCGTTTACTGATTAATACAATCAATCGCAGAATAAAAACAAATGCAGGCTAACTACAAACTAAAAAGAAGTGACGCATAAGTTACAAAAGCTGCGCGCTGAGTGTCTGGAGTGAGATTGGTAATCTGATTATTGGACATAATGGCCGGTGTCCCCATACCCCATATTATATATATTTGACGGATGTTACTCGTCTAAATTTCTTCGAAGTAGCGCGCGCCGCTTTCTTCTCGAAATGTTATATTGGCCCGATGGCACGAGCTACGAAGTAGCGCGCGCCGGGCCAAATCATTAACAATGGTCAACCCATATATTCCCCATACCAGGTTGATTGACGACATGTCAATCCGTCGAGATCGTTGCTCTGCGAAGCAGAGCAAGTATCGACGACGATCGAAGCAAGAATGTTAGTTCGCGCGGCTCGTCGAAGCGGCGAAGTCCTCCAATCCCCAGGTAATCAATGTATAGCCCAGGTAATCAAAAGTTATATTTATCCACCAAAAACACATTGAATTTGATACGTATGAAATATGTTTATAACCCATGCTTGATTGCAATATTAATTAAGTTGCGGTTGAACCAAAATTGAACAGGGAATCGTTTAAAATCATTTTTGATGCACATTGACAAACGCTATTCATGCTACTGTGCTTTTTTACGGAGAAATTAGACAGTAGCGATTTTGAGCTTGTTACTCTTTTTCAAAAGTATTCTAATCGATTTATATAAATGTATATATTGTACAATTCATTGTATTGAATACATTTTCAAAAATGTGTATCGACCGTAATATGTTAAATTGGCATCCTCAATTTTTACATTATCACGTGGCTTTATACACTGAAGACTGCATACAATACCATTACCATAGCAGAGAGTTAATTAATTAATTAAATTATTCCAACGTACATTACAGTTACACACAGGGCCTCATGTATGTAATGTGTCACAGGCGACAGCAAACAAAAACAAATACTTATAACATGGGTGATACATGACACCACACGTCCACACGTGTACAATCTCAGCCGCGCAGTATCATAGCAGTCAATAGTTCAAATTGCAAAGTGTCCTGGACGACCAAATCATATAAATTACCTGTAGTGGGATGCACTTGATGTGTTTTGTACCGTTTACAATTAACTATGTGTTAAAACTGCGTGGCTTAGTTGTCCAAACGAGGATTGAAACCCTACAACACCAAATTTCACAAAGATCATTTGTGCACTGATATATTCTTAACTCAAATGCTCTTATTTTATGATGGAATTCTTTGAAAGTTTACAAAATTTTCAGGGAATCTAATTTGACCCATATCTGAAATCTCGGAAAATCTATTTTTCCCTACTATTGCTGAAGGCAAAAATATCACAGGGAATCAGTAATCAGGTGTGGTTATATGAAGTGGGGAAAGTTGCTTAATTTTTTGTGATGTTAAAAATTATCACAGTAATAAATTATGGAATGAGCTGCCTCTTGGAATTAAGAATTGCATGTCACTGGACTCTTTTAAAGTGTATCTGAAAAAGTTTCTTTTTAAAAGTGCTTATGATATTAATTAATCTAATATTTTTTCAATGTTTCTACTGTTAAGTGCACATACCCTTTACCTTGTAATATAATGTATCAAGTATCAATTTTCCATGGTTTGGAACCTATATATATTATGTGGATTGCTTTTCAGGTTTTCTTGTATCCTGACTTGTTTTTGTGGCACACTTGTGCACTTTAAGTTGCTGTGCCACTATAATCTATAAGTTTAAATTATTATCATTACTATTATTTAAATCATTTAAAAGTTTATCTTTCAATGACAAGTTGGTATGTTCATCACAAGCAGCAGTAACAACCTCATTATAAGTCCCACATTTAATCAGGCAATGTCAGTTGCAGAACAGTATATTCTATTTCATCATCAATGGTAGATAGATTATATTTGGTGATTGCTGTCTTGCTATCATTGGTTATTTCTTTTGATGGAAGCCCAAGAAAAGTCATTTTTGACAAGTGGTCTGGAAACATAACTAGTAATCCAGGGAACAAATATCTGAAAAATCAAGAGTATGAATGGCTGATAAAAGGTAATGGTTTGAAAGTTTGAAAGCATTTTTATTTGTTGCACTCTTTCCCTCAATTATTAATTGTTTCTCTATACAAAATTTGCTGATTGTTATGCTAATTCAAATAATTGATTTTTTTTGAGATTGCATTATCTTAACCTTAGTTAACTCCAGTGCCTGTTGGTGGAAATTTCATAGAATTAAAGTTTCCTGCCTTTCTAACCGAGTGCTTATATGACTACGTGTCAGTATACAACAATAATGATGAGGTAAGTCTGTGAGCCTAGGTACATCTTAAATTTATATCAGTTAATTGTTTTTTTCCTGGACTGGTTTTTCATTTCTGTGTGTTGCTTCACTTTTTTTGTGAGCATAGATTGTTATATTAATTTGTGCTATTTTATCTTCCCTATTCAGTACATATTTACAGGATAACAGATTACAATTGGCTGCCATAAGTGGAAATTTACGTTCCATGGAAGACATTGTCTCTGATACAGGTTTGAACATTATAATTGGCAGGACAAATAAATAGTTCATTTTTAATAATTGTTCAAATAGTATGAACATTTTGTAAATTTTACAGCACTGTAAATAGGTATAATATAACAGAGAGACAATATTTTAGATAAAAGTGTGAAATTTGAACAGGTGTTTGTGAGCCCAGTAGATTTTGACTAAACACCTCAGGACAAATGTACATACACTTGACTAGTGATGCAGATAGAGTGTTCAGGGGGTTTAAAGCTACTTTTAGTGTCACTATCTGTCCTAACAACTGTACTGGAAGCAATGGAAGGTAGGAACAGTATTGAGATAATATTATAGTCCTACCATAATATTATACAGCATAATAAATTTCATGGCTGAGGTAAATGATAATATCATACTATTTAGATAACCGTCTCTGTTCCTTAAAACCAACATCTTAGGTGTAATCCGAACTCCAACAAGTGCACATGTAATACTGGCTGGTATGGAGACAAGTGTGATAAGGGAGCACTAGATTGTGGGTCACACGGCCAGCTGGATACACTCCTCAACAAATGCAGGTTCTTCACTATTTCATTCGTTTGTAGTTGTTGGAACAAGGATTTGTTATTGGGTATATAATACCTCTTGTCAAACATTCAATTTTATAATCTGAAATCCGGAAGTGTTCTATGAATTTTATTACTACCTTTTGACTGATTGATTTTCATAAGTCCTCTCTTTTCCAAGTATAGTCGAATATTTGTATGGTCATTATTCTGCTTATTCAATATGATGTCTACAATCTACGATGATATATAACTACGTTTCTATCTATACAGGTGTAATGAAGGATATTTTGGCTGGAAGTGCAACATCAAGTTGATCTCTAAAGCTGAGGAGCCCCCTTACAATAGTTGGTTTAGTTTAGTACAGCCAGAGAGTAGACAGTCTATCCTCAGCTGGGATCAAGCCAAGGTTGGTTTTCTTTCATCAAATCTCTGAGCTTTTGGAATTACTTTGGATTTATTCTATAGTTACTGTATATTAGAGTGTTTTACTGAGAATTATTGTCTGTGTCTCATGAATGTTTTGTGTTAAGTTTAATTCCTTGAAAAATTCCTGTCCATTCTATAAATTTATACCGTTAGTGGGGAAATTGACAAAAGAGTTTAAAACTTTAAAAACCTCAAATTTAAGCAATTTTGTCAGAAAACGGCAGAGTGATCGGTCACATATTACGTAAGCTAGGGGTGGAGATGGTTTGGAAAAGCTTGTTATCTCTACACCTAATAACATGTAAAACGGACAAGGGAAGGGAAGGGGAGGTGAGGGTCTCAAAAGGTTTTAACCTTTTGAAAAACCTTTTAAAAAATCTCGCCTATTGAGGGTCTCGAAAGGTTAAAATCTCGCTTATCCAAACGTTCCTTTAGCACAATAAATAGATCACAACTTGTTGCAGAGAATGTTACCAAGACAAGGTCACACGGCTGATGTTATCGGAGACTACCTGTACGTTTTTGGAGGGTACGATCTAAACCTGGTCCTGTACAGCTTCAAGAGACTGCACGTGGTGTCCGGTGACTGGTCTGATGTCCCGATTAGTCCTGCCTCTTCATCGCTACCTGGAGGTGTGTAAATTTACAGTTAAAATATTATGTTTTATCAATAAATCATATCATGCTATTATTATCTCCCCAGTCAAAGTGTTCACTTAAACACAACTTTTACATTACTACTGCACTACTTTTACATTACTGTTGCACTATGATTTTACAGTAAAACAAGATGTATTTGTGACTATTGTTTAAAAGCAGCAAGAAAACTTCTCAACAAGAAAACTAAGTGTACCCCGCTAGTTGGTACACTTATTACTTTTTAGAGAGATAGACTCTTTGTTGTTTTAATAAAAGACGTGAAATTAGATTTTATTCAAAATAACAGTATTTCAACATCAGGACGCTATATGCACAGTTCAGCAGTGTTTGGTGATAGTATCCTGTATTGTGGCGGATTCTTCAAGGTGAATTATTCGAATTGTCTAAGAAATACTGAAATAGCGCACATTTTTATTACAGTCAGATTTTTAAACAAAATTATGCTGTGCAGTGTACACGGTCGCGGTCTCCATTATTATTTATGGCTAGATATAATTAAGAAAAATTATCGAAAAAATTGTCTACAATTATACATCAGAGCACAACGACTATCGGAGGCGACTGTTGGCTGTACAACACGTCAGACTCGTGCTGGTACCAGTACCCGTCTCTTCCAGTACCGGTTACCGGGCACACAACCACTGTGGTGCCAGCTGGCAACGTTTACCTTTTCGGAGGTATGTTCAAAATTGCTGTGGGGCAGGGGGGTCTTGAAGTTTTTGCCTTTTGGGCGTTGTTGAAAAAGGGGGAGGGGGATTCATCAAAGATTATTGTCAATTAAGTTATTATGGTCAGGGTTATATTAACTTTTTGTTCTCACAATATCGTGTCACTTAATTCCTGTCTGTTCAAGAGAAAAGAAGTAAAAGTAATCTTAGCATTTATTTGGACAAATCCAACAGAATTGTAGTATTTTTTCCATTCAATAATAACATTTAAACTTTTAAATTTAAATGTTGAAGATGTCTCCCTCTTGGCTGGGTAAACTTTATTTAACCATTTCATAACCATGTTGTGACACAGTTATGGCATGGTTGTAAAATATGTAAATACGATTTGGTTTTTGGTTGTGGCACAGGGATTCGACTGCATGTCGTAACCCTGTCATAATTATTTCATAACTGTTTCCGAGTTATTAAAACTGATCACTTTTTGGGACACCTTCCCTTGTAGAAAACATAATATTACATTATTTCCATGAATATAATGCTGGAAGCTAGTGTTGGCCGCACAAATATTTTTTTCCGAGATAAAGTTGAATTATCTGCCACCGATCTCATTTCTGACCCCCATTTAACCCAGTTATATATTTGAACCAATTAAAGATACGATTTCGAATAAAATTTAAATCGTTTCAAATCACAATTGATGAAAGCATTCATGTTGAAAAATCTCTAAGTTCCCTATAACATATTATTATCGTAATAAATTATCGTAAATAATTATTATCGTAAATAAATCGTAAATAAATTCACTAACCATACTTTAAATGTAAGACTAAGATTCAAATTTTTTAAAACGTATCTTTATTTTATATTTATGATACGTTGATAGTAGATACTAGTATTAGCTAAAATTAGCTCTAAATCAAATAAGAGTCATTATTAAAATAATTACGTATCAAAAATGTTCTAAAATGGCACTCAACTGAATAGTATTATAGGGGTCAATAAATTGATGTTCAAAATGTTCTAAAATTAGTTACTGCAATGACAATCGGTTGGTAAAACAAATTCCTGACATCAAAATGCCAATAATTGATAGTAAAATTATTGTTCAAAAATATAGGGTCAGTACGGGTATATGACCCCCAGAATATAGGTCGTTTTTTGAGCACTTAGAAACAGGTGTTAAAACTACTTCTAAGCATGTTTAGGGGTGTAAATATGTACATAATAACCCTTTAAATGTTTCTTGGGTAGTTGAAAATAATTATTAGGTTTTTAAGTGTACTTTTTTTTCACCTGTAAAAATACCATTTTTTAACAGGGCCCCCAGAATATAGGTCCAAACATCTGTTCCTAAGTTGTTCTAAAATTGTCACAGACAGTTATATGCAGTCAGAATATGTTGCTGAGACTGTATTGATGATGCCAATGGCTCCAGATACTAAATTGAAATGGTTTAGAGTATACTTAATAGCAAAAAATCAAAAACTACGGCCCCCAGAATATAGGTATGCAAAAATCGTCCTCAAATACTCCACCTTCATACATTTTGATGATACCATCTCTTCAGCATATGTTCTTTAACTGTTTCTCATCACTACCCCACATTCCTTAATGCTCAGGGTGACAGAGAAAATGCAGAATCTTGGTCGTTATTTTTTTTTAAAACCTATATTCTGGGGGCCATATACCCGTGATGAGTAAAATCTTTAATTTTACTTGTTAAAAAGCTTTCATGCACTCATTTAGTAGGGATCTTAACTAAATACTTAAATAAGATTGAAGGAGTGTCCCTAGATATGATTGAGGGGGGCTGTTTTTATCTGTATCAATACAATGTGCACCTCAATGACTGTACATCAGACATTTTTGGCCGCCAAATTTTTTTAAAGGCCTAACTCAAAATTCTGTCCCAAAACTTAAGGTCATGAGACAATTCTACGTTGATTCTGAAAATTTCATGTGAAAATATTGAAACCCTATTGAGTTCTATTGTTTTGAGCGAAGTCAGTTTGAGATATGGGCGATTTTGTTCATTTTTTGCGATTATTTGAACACAGAATCCACAGTTAGGTAGATATTGAGCTGATAATCATAGAGAATGTGTAATATATGCTTACCTTCCATATAAAGTTGGTTTCATTCAAAAATATTGATATTTGACCAATTTATGGACCAAAATCGATCAAATTTGGTGCGTATGCCCAAATATGGGCATATGGTTTTTGTTTTTATCCCATAACTCGGCCAATTTTTATCCAATTTTGATAAAACTTGATACGTGGGTTCAGGAGACTAGTAGCTACAAGTAGAGCATCCCAAAGCATGGTTTTGGGCATGTTCAGGGTTTTTGACCAACCTATATTCTGGGGGTCGTATAGACCTATATTCTGGGGGCCCGTAAAATTGTGGTGGCCATAACTTTTTTCCAAATTGTCAGTTTGCAGATGTCTCGATGAAAAGATAGCTTAAAATAATACTTATACTCATACCAGTAGTCTTAATGGCATGTGTTGGACAGATTTTTGTCATGACAATTTTTCGCCATATTTACCCCTCTAGAAAATGACAACATCGTTTAAATCTTTCGCTGTCATGACCAACTATACCAAAATACCTCATGTAGGTCCAAAATTTTTATCCAGAAACATAATTTACATGTTTTACTCCAACCTAGCAGTAACAGATCCCATTAGTATCGCTTATCTTGGTTAGAACTGTATCCACTAACATGACCTATATTTTGGGGGCCACCTATATTCTGGGGGCCATATACCCGTATAACTATTCTAATGATAATTATTAAGAATGTTCTAAAACGGGTTACTGTTATAATGGAAATGGGTTCAAAAAGCTCGGCCACTTGAACAAACACCGATGGGACATTAAGACAACATTAAGACAACAATAAGACAATATTAAGACAACAATAAGACAACATTAAGCCAACGTTAACGCAACAAACACCAATAAGACAACAAACGATAAGACAACATTAAGACAACATTAAGGCAACATTAAGGCAACATTAAGGCAACAAAAGCTCTGACATCAGACTAATCCCATGATACGTATCAGAAAAATTAGATCCTCGTCTCCAAATTAGTAACCAAGCAGCTGTAAGGAGAACAGTGTACTTTGTAGTAGGACCTGAAGAGAAGTTGATTAGTAATATCATACATTTTACCGGCCGGAGACGGAGGGATAACCAATAATATTGATAGTAATTAATAATCTTAAAATGTCTAATCAGCAAACCTAGTTAATAATAAGTTATTGTGCTGTTATTAAAATCAACGTACCGATGAGTTAATCTTCCCCCTTGATTTCTTTCCTCTAGCTGCTGTCATCTTTCTCTGCCGGCATAGGATGGTAAGCCTTAAAATAAGCTATGATATTCTCCGTGATCGGTGTGCCGACGAAATAATCTGCAAGTAAACTTATTATTAGTTTATTTCTAGGGTACAAGAAAAATTGTTCGCGTTCAATATATCTAGACACGGTCAGGAAGACCGGATTTGAACTCTATTTACTATGACACGTGCCAGTAATTAACCAGTCAGCTTCCAGTATAATTAGCCAATCAAACAAGACTTTCTATCACGTGTCACAACAAATACGGTTAACCTCCCCTGCACCAGTATCCAGTCGTAGTCTAACCAGAACGAAGGAAAATCTCTAAAAATATATTAAGACATGAACTAAACCTACTCATGGTAATTATTTACTTACCCAACATGTTCCAGTTAGCATTTAGCTCGGTAAGTTTCTCGGTGGTGAGTGTTTGGTTGAAGTAGGTCTGATCATTTAGCATGTCCCAAATACTGTGGGAACACTCACAATCTCCCTCTTCTTTTTCTTCGTTCTCTTCCTCTAGCTCTGCAGGCATAGGATGGAAGACTTTGTAATGAGATACGATGTTTTCTGTGATCGGTGTCCCGACGAAATGTTCTGCAAACAAATTATATATTAATGTTTATTTAAACATGAGAATTGTTTAACGTGTTATGGATTTTTAAACAGGTGAAGAGGCGAATAACATTTATTTTGACACGTGACAGATAAATTAATCAATCAGGTTCCAGCATATCCAGACAAAACTGGTTACCACTGTCACGTGTCAAAAAAAGTGTCCATCACCCCTCCCCCTTTCAGAATTAAAACATTTGTTAATGAAATAGTTTCCTTCTAAAGATTATTAAAAATCGCTGTACATATTAAGATAATAGCAAACCCAACTTGCTTACTTACCCAACATGTTCCAAGTGGATTTTAGCTCGGTCAGTTTCTCTGTTGTCAGTGTTTGGTTAAAGTAGGTCTGATCATACAGTATGTCCCAAATACTGTGAGTACACTCACAATCATCCTTTTCTTCCTCCTCTTCTTCTTCAGCAGGACACCCAGGATTCACTTCTGTGACATTACCAGTTCTGTCCTGACTCAAGATGCTCTCCCAGGTGATGAACCTGACTTCCTGGTGCTTCTTTTCTACATCTGAACATCTCCCAGCGTTGTATAACTCTGCAATTTCTTCTGAACTGAGCACTTTTCCAAATATATCTAGTTTCATCAGCTGCCCACCGAATACTTCTACTTGAAGTGGGGTGGCAGCTTCTTGTCCCAGAGTGATGACACCCCCCTCTTCTAATGGATCTGAGTTCCAATTACCTTTAGACCCTATCAGAGTACCATTATAGTAGGTCTTCATTGTCCCAGTGCTTGTTGACCAACTTTGACATTGATGAGTCCACGTGTTGAGGGGTACTGTAACAGCACTTCTCAGGTCGTTGTTGATGTTGTGAATCCGGTTGTAGTAACCACCATCTGATATTAGGATCTCCCAAATGTATGTTGACGTTTTGTAGCTAAACCAGGATCTGAAGGGGCCAGTCAGCTGTTTCTTTACCCATGAACACACCGTTAGGGAGTCTTTGACTTGGCTCATATCAGGTGAAAACTCTACGTAGTCACCAAGGGTGGTACCGAACTGCAGTGCCTTTGTTAAGGATCTCTCTGATGCCGATATAGTGGGGATGCTGCAATGGAGGGCTAGCAGGGCTGTTAGGAGTTGCAAAAACATGATCCTGCTTTAAGATTACTGAATAGTGAATACTGATCATTTATTAATAAGTTTGTTATTTTAATTTAAACCCTAATTGTTTAATTGTTACTTGTCTGTTTAAATTAACAAGAAGAGGACCAATCATTTGCTCACTTTGGTGAGCAAATCAAGCAACTTAAAACATCGTGTTTTCTGAAACTAAGAGACCTTGCTAAGATGAAAACATTCCTCACAACCAAACAGATGGGAACACTGACTCAAGCAATTGTAATCTCATCGCTTGACTACTGCAATGCACTTTACTATGGTTGTAGTCAAGCCTCAATTACGCAGCTGCAGAACATTCAGAACCGAGCATGCCGTCTGGTTTTTTGATTAAAGAAGAGAGACTCAGTCGAGGAGAAGCTCAAATCCCTTCATTGGCTCAAGGTGAAGGAGAGGATTGAGTTTAAGTTATGCTTACTGATTTTCAAAGCAGTCAATGGTGTTGCTCCTGCATATCTGTGTGATCTAGTAACATTTGTTAGTTCGAGTAGCAGAAGAACTTCCTCCTTACACCTACCCGTCGGATCTACAAGATCACACCCAAGAGCGTTTCAGACTGTTGCTCCGAAAATCTGGAACCAACTACCAATTGAAATTAAGACTTGTTCCGATGTTGATCTGTTCAAAACATTATTAAAAACTCACCTGTTTAAGAAAAGTTATGGCATGAGCGATTAATTGACAATATAATAACTTTATGTTATTTGCTTAAACTGTTTAGGATGCAACCTAATGTCATGATCTTTTTGAACTTATTAGCAATTAGACTGTTAGCTCGCTTCACAAGCATGTCATCTTCGTTCCAAAACTTTTTATGTCCTATGCATACACTCCTTGATAGTTATCTTAATCTAGTATCTTTGTTTCACACAATAGAGCATAAGTTTTGTGGTTTATCCACTGGGCTTAGAGTTTGTGTTTAAGCTACCAAATTTTATTATTATCATTATTATAACGAAATGTATTTTTAGAAAAGTCTGCCGTAGTACATTCATCATATAGCGGGTTTCATTCATCATAGGGCGGGTTACAATTAACAGTCTTTGTTAAATTGTTTGGGGCGGTAATCCAAAATATTCTATATATTTTTTAAATTTACCGATAAATTTACGATCTCATACTTATTACTAATCAGCCAATTGATAATCTAATCACTTGACAGGTCTTACCGGTGGAGACACGGACCACTATTCCTGCTCACTTCACACCATGGATCTATCCTCCCGGAGTCCCGTATGGGGTCTGGTGACCCCCACTATCTACAAGTGTTCTGAGATAAGACGGTACGGCCACTCTGCTGTGTATGATGAGGACTCAGGGAGTATTGTCGTGTTCGGAGGTGAGCTTATATTTTGTTAGAGCCTATGATCAATGCTAACATTTGTAAACTTTATGTCGGATAATATAACCCGGAACACAGCGGTGGGACCATGATAACATTACAATTGGGGCCGGATATGGATATTCTGAATACTACTTAAGTACTAACCCTCTCAAACAGGTGGATATGCTGGATACTACTAAAGTACTAACACTGTTTCTCACACTACTACTAAAGTACTAACCTTGTTTCTCACACAGGTTTTGTTCCAATACCTCATGTACGGTACGACAAGAGTTCGGATGTTTTACTCTTCAGTATAAAAAACAAGGTGACTTATATAAGCTTGTAAAATGGGCATTATCGACGAATGATTGCTGGCGTGGAATAAACAAATTCTTATTCAAAAACCTATTGTTACTGCGCTTAGACAGTAAATATGACTCTCAATGGGCTCGAGAAAAAACTACTTCCGTTTAAATGTTACATCGTGTAACGAAATAGATCACAAAAGTTTTCATGAACTTATTAAACAAATACTACACAGATCTACAGATAAAAACGTACGAGTTAAAAAAGCGTGGCCCTAACAACTATTTAGTTCGCCTTGATATAATATAATTTAAATGTGTCCGAAAAGAAAATAACCTCCATATTTTAGACAAAAAAGTTCCACGCACTCAGTCCATATAGAAGAACTGAGAAATAAAACTAACGGCTCCATACCTCAATGGAGCTCTCGAAAAGCAAACCACTGAACACTGATGACCTTTGGTCTGAGGCTGATATTAAATAAGCTGCTGGGGGCGGTTCTGACAAGTGTGACTGAAGACATACTACCTATATCTCCAGACAACAGCCCTGTCTACATCTGCCCGCATGTTATTATCAGCCTGGTAAGGGTTCTAGTGTCCAGATAACCCCCGATACGTGGAGCAGTAGGGCAAGAGTAGCCACGTGATGCCCATATAAGGAAGAGTAGCTGCTTTCTGGATGCAGAGAGCCTCACAGACAGGAGATGTTCCTGTGAATAGCTTGTTAGTTGGGACGGTTTACAGGGTTTATGGGGAGATAAGCAGGGTGCACGGACCATCGTGGAGCTTCAGACTGCATTGTTACAGCCTCTATCATGGATTCACGGGTTGTGACAGGAACAATGATTAGTAGCTTTACGTATTACCGATTAGCAGTTCTCATTTTTTTAAAGATTAAATTAATTTTGAGGAAAAAATTGGGTGCTCCCTTCCTAGGTAGTTTAAACAATATCTTCGGGTGTAATTTGTCGATAATGCCCTGATATAATAAAAAAATAAAAAATAACAGTTGCCAATTTACCAAAAGTAAAGCCTACTGTGGAACAGTGTTTAACCAATTGACATAGCAAATTGGAATAATAACGCAAATACAAATGGTTCAAATTGGTGGAGGGAGACGTTGATGAATACTATGATTTTGAAGGCACTAATATACGAGAGAAGAAGTAAAAGATCCGACCAAATCAGTTTGATGAAGAAATTATATAAAGAGAATGTTTCTTCTGTTCCTGGCTGTAAGTACGATTTGACATCTGTAAGGTCCAGGAAAGCGGTCAACCTGAGGTGAGAGATCTGAAAGAAAAAAAGAGAATGAAAAACTTTTGAGAAAGACAGCACAAAGCACGCCCAAGAGCAGAGAAAAGCTAAGGAGAGTTGCGAAAAAAAAGAAAGAAACATGGGATGAATCGGTTACATTTCCACGCGGTTACCCACCGTACATTACCCCGTAATTCGGTTTAGTTCTCACTGGATGTGGAGTACGTGGTAGGAGGACGTTACCTCATCTAATAAAAACAGGCTTTGTTTATACACTGCACGGTCTTTTGTGGTGATTGGGGCACTGGTGGGCGTTTTACAGAATAACTCGGAATTCTCCAAAATCCACAAAAGTGCTATGGCTTGCTAAGGATTTGGATGATTTAGTTTTGGTCAGTGCATGTCGTGGATTTTTTTCCTGTTTAGCTGTCGCTCTTCTCGTTTGTATCAGGAGAGGGGTTCCCTCTTCGATGGGGTAGAAAGACTCCGATTTGAAGTGCTTGGGAGAGCGAAACATCTCTCGGTAGTTACTCTGACAGAAGAATTATAATACTGTTCATATGCGTGGGTGGTTTCTCAGTTTGAAGTGTGGGATGGGGCAGAACGTCTCGCTCTGGAAAGGTCTTCTCTCTCAAAACATACCTACTTTTGTTTATCTTCACCCGACTACCACACTTCACCCTGACTACCACACGTCACCCTGACTACCACACTTCACCCTGACTACCACACTTCACCCTGACTACCACACTTCACCCTGACTACCACACTTCACCCTGACTACCACACTTCACCTGACTACCACACTTCATCCCTGACTACCACACTTCACCCTGACTACCACACTTCACCCTGACTACCACACTTCACCCTGACTACCACACTTCACCCTGACTACCACACTTCACCTGACTACCACACTTTACCCTGACTACCACACCTTCACCCTGACTACCACACTTCACCCTGACTACCACACTTCACCCTGACTACCACACTTCATCCTGACTACCACACTTCACCCTGACTACCACACTTCACCCTGACTACCACCACTTCACCCTGACTACCACACTTCACCCTGACTACCACACTTCACCCTGACTACCACACTTCACCTTGACTACCACACTTTTGCTATGCAATCAAACTAGGTTTAAAAATCCAATCCAGAGATTGCTTTTTATTCCCATTGTGTTCTCAACTCTCAAGAATAAATTAATTGCATCTATTTGTTTTCAAGACCAGACAAATTTGGCAAAAGTCTGGGTTTCTGGATAGCTAATAGATGTCAGTGTATACTGCACTAGGAGATGACTTTATAAAATCAACTGTGCTCATTAATTTCGCCAGTATATCCCAAATGTGCAATTCTCTTGCTCAGTTCACTTTACCGCTCTGATTGATAATGCAGTAAAATATAAAAACTGCGATAAAGCATTTAGCATTCACTGCATTTTCTTTCAATATTTCACTGCCACACTTAGTGCGTGAGGGTGGGGGCGGGGGTTCACTACACTTTTTGACACTAAACTTTTTCCATTTTTTATGTATCGTGTAAAAAAGTGTAAAGAACCCCCCCCCCCTCAGTGCGTGCGTTAACAAAATACTTGGATTTCTAACGCCTTGATAGTATATTAAGATTATTAGTAATTTTCAATTCAAAATAAACAGGAACACGGAGAAATGAAAAAAATCAATTTACATATAATATAAATTATTGATGCTTTAGTGTAGACTAATTTTATTTTCAAATCTAGGGTGAACGATTCATCATAATATTTATTGATATTGCAATTGTTTGAACATATGATTATCATTATATAAATTTATGTAACATATCCTATTAACATATCCTATTAACATATCCTATCGCGGGTTTATTACTACTAAAATAAAAATAAAGTCAAGTTTCTAATATCTTCGGTTGTACTTAAGTCTTAAAGTTTAGATTTGTTAAATTTAAATATATATAAACTGTGTATTACTCAGCCCCGCTCAGACATAAATTGATATTTTAATATCGATTATCAATATGAGCAGGATATGCTCTAATATTTCATTTCATATTTGTAAGTTCTAGCTGATGATTACATGATTGAAAGAGATGGTCTAACAATTTGTACCTTCAATAATTTTATCTCATTTCATATAATACACTTTCTGTTTCTCCACTATTGGTTGCGAGGAGTAATTTATAGTTTACGTGATTATTGGCTTTAAAAGGTCACTGGATCACGTGATAGGCTATTGAGTTAGAACTTTGCACTGTGCTTTATGCTTTTTTAAGTAGTATGATAGTGTTAATAAACTACTAACAATAGTGTGAGGTTAGAGCGTGAGGTTAGAGCGTGAGGTTAGAGCGCGAGGTTAGAGTGTGAGGTTAGAGCGTGAAGTTAGAGTGTGGGGTTAGAGCGTGAAGTTAGAGTGTGGGGTTAGAGCGTGAGGTTGGAGTGTGAGGTTAGAGCGTGAGGTTAGAGCGTGAGGTTAGAGTGTGGGGTTAGAGCGTGAGGTTAGAGCGTGAGGTTAGAGTCTGGGGTTAGAGCGTGAGGTTAGAGCGTGAGGTTAGAGTGTGAGGTTAAAGCATGAGGTTGGAGTGTGAGGTTAGAGTGTGAGGTTAGAGCGTGAGGTTAGAGTGTGGGGTTAGAGCGTGAGGTTAGAGCGTGAGGTTGGAGTGTGAGGTTAGAGTGAGAGGTTAGAGCGTGAGGTTAGAGTGTGGGGTTAGAGCGTGAGGTTAGAGCGTGAGGTAAGAATGTGAGAAAAAATTTCAGTAATATACATTTTTATAGGTAATTGTAAAATATTTTTTATTCCTGAGAGATGCCAGTCCCATTTATTGTGGTACTTACACTACCATCTCTCTAGCCCCTTACTGTTGATAAAGAGCGTGCCGTCTAGCTGGGGTCTAAAAGCTTACCAGCTATAATAATATAACTGAATAGTTTCAGCGTTCACTAAATCAATGCTATTAATATCATAAATAAACTCCATCAGATTTAAACGTTGCGCAATTAGCTGATGGACTTCACTCAGAACCAGCCTGAACACGAAAATTCCTACATTTGGACTTTTAACGCTTATAACTACACAGCCTTTTGACTTTTGAGGTACGATTTCGCAGTTTTACACGCATGACGCATGTAGAATGTAGATTGTAGAATAACGTGGACAACTTATGTGCAATATGTTAGCTTTATTTCACGAGCTGCTGATTCATGCGGTAATAAGTATCGATTATGGAATACTTTAGTAATATTATTCCATGTGGGTCGCAGACTTGTATAAATTATAAATAATTATTATTTCAGGGCATCAGAGATTTTTAAATTTCTCGGACAGAGCCCCATTTTTAGTAGTGAGCCTAGATGGGACGTTCGAAACGGAACACAGTTTCTACTACCCCGCTACTTTGCTACAAAGATACTGCATAAAATATAACTAATTTATTAGAAACAAAATTGTCTTCATGATGTCTTAAAATGTAACCACATTCCAACCAAAAATTCTACAACTTATTTCTAATTAATGCTTTTCATACTAAGTTACAACAAAGTTACAACAAAGTCTTCATGTTATAATACATTCCGGTTCTACTCAGTGGCGGAGGTATTATAGTGTTATATAACACTAATTAACCAAAGTGAACCATAATTGGGTCCGTATTATATGGCATGAAGGGGGTGGTTCGTAGCTCATCAAGCTGTTCAGCTATACACATTTGTAAAAGCTTCTTTGTTGACAAAAGCCTTTGTGATGCAAAGGGAAATGTTACAACTAATTCAGAATTTCCAGGTTCTCTGAAGACCTTTTTACTTACTTTTTACTTACTGTGATTATCTTTCTGGTTAGTTGCTTCATGCACACGTCAATTTCCAGTTGAGTTTATATTTGTAATTAAATATTATTTTATATAAATTATTAAATAAAAGTTCTAAACAAAGGATAGCTTAAAACAACGCCCAGGTCTAATCTTTCCCATCAAAGCTAT